CGCGGGTGCCCCGGGTGGGGTCGGGGACCCGCGTGCGCCCCCAGCGCTGCCCGGGGCCACCAGGGTCAGGGGCGTCATCACACTCTGCGGACTCTTGCGGGTTGGCGCATCGACACGATCAGGCGACACGTTCGCCAGCGGCACCGTGGACCCATCGCGGGTGTGCGCGATGCGTCCCAGTTTGGACAGAAATAGCCGAGACGTGTTGTCATTGCGCGGAGAAGACAGATGCGTTAGCGCGCGGGATAGGCGTTAGCGCGCGGGATAGGCGTCTACCGGTAATGACGCGGTCACGGTCCGTGGATCACAAACACAGAAAGGTTTGTGTAGACGCGTCTACTGGGTATCACAGAGAAATACACAAAGATTTGCGTAGACGTACACGCGTCTACTGGGAATAACACGGACACGATCCGTGTATCAGAAATATAGAAAGATTTGCGTAGATGCATCACGCGTCTACTGGAAATAACGCAAACACGATCCGTGGATCACAGAGAAATACAGAAAGATTTGTGTAGACGCGTCTACAGGAAATAACGCGGACACAGTCCGGGTATCACAGAGAAATACAGAAAGATTTGCGTAGACGTACACGCGTCTACTGGGAATAACACGGACACGATCCGTGTATCAGAAATATAGAAAGATTTGCGTAGACGCGTCTACAGGAAATAACGTGGTCACGATCCGTGGATCACAAATACAGAAAGACTTGTGCAGACGCGTCTACTGGATATAACGCGGACACGATCCGTGGATCACAAATACAGAAACATTTGTGTACACGCATCTACTGGAAATAACGCGGACACGATCCGTGGATCACAGAGAAATACAGAAAGATTTGCGTAGACGCGTCTACAGGAAATAACGTGGTCATGATCCGTGGGTCACAAATACAGAAAGATTTGTGCAGACGCGTCATGCATCTACTGGAAATAACGTGGTCACGGTCCGTGGATCACAGATACAGAAAGATTTGCGTAGACGCGTCTACTGGAAATAACGCGGACACGATCCGTGGATCACAGAGAAATACAGAAATATTTGCGTAGACGCGTCTAC